CAAAATAATTATATATATTACTGGCCTAAAAGTTTGAAACAATAAATAAAATTGATAAAATAAACTACAAAGTAAAGAAAACCTTAGGTGAACAAGCTATATACAATACAGATAAAACTATGTACAGAGTATTTAAAACTATGAACAAAACTGTATATAAGGGTTGGAAAACATAAACATACACTTTGAGAAATGAAGAACGAAAAAGAGATAGAATAAGTTCTATAACCATTTCTATTGGTTAATTACCTATATTTCAAATTCTATAAATTTTCGTTTAAATTTACAGCCTAAATGAGAAGTCTTGTCAAAAGAAAATATGTACGCCTTATGAAAAAGATTTAAAAGGTATTTGGTAATATCGATATAAGGATCTCCAGGAATCAACCCTCACCATCCATGAAAATTTCATCAAATCGAATTAAAGGCAGTTACATACAATTTAAAAAATTATATACATCCCCTTTTGGATATATTCTCTACTTAGCACATTTCATAGTGATTAAAATCTTAAAATTAGGTACATTCATGTTAATTATTGAATGGAATTGATGCTAGGCCATTTATACACTGTTCCCTAAATTTCCTCGGACTTTGAAATAAATAAAACGAGCAGTATCAGAAACATAATTTTTTAAAGAAAAATATGCTGGTACATCAGTAAGCCAAGATATTTTTTTAAAGAGTTAGATGGAATTTTATAGAATTAATAATTACTTGATTAATTACTGTTTTTTCACAAATTCCTAACATCTCATTAACTTTAGAAAAAAACGAATATGCCCTTTTTGAACTATGAGACTATTAAGTAATTTTTTCACTAGCCCCATCTTTGAACCAAATCGAAGGAGTCGGTTTCCAAATTCGTTTGTCTAAGAAAATACATTTATGCTTGCGTTAGCGGTGGTAGTGAATGGAGTTTGATGAATTGATATGGGACCATTTTGGTACCAACCCGCAAAATATCTAGAACAAATTAAAAGAAATTTGAATTAACGGTAGCAGGTGAAATACACGTCACGTGGATTCGACTGATAGAAACGGAACAAAATTTTTTTCTTGATGTCCAAAAACGTCAATTCAAAGGACAAAACAAATTTTAACCCATATTTTGGATACAAAACTTCTCTGCCTCCAATAGTGAGGATGTAAAAATCGTATCGGTTAAGTTTTGTCAGATATTGGTGGACCCATGGAATAAATTTCGATCCTCTCAGACTGTTTAGAATAGGTTGTTTCCCTTTAGGAACGTTCGTTCTTCCTTCCCTAATTGGAGTACATATGGAAGTAAAATCCAAATAGACAAACAAAAGAACATTGATCACTACATCAGCCTATTCTTGAACGTCAATTGAACATTAAGATTTTCCACTGCCAAACACGTCATCAGTGGCTATCAAATCAACTGTACCATTCAGCTCCAAAATACTGTAAACTATTTAATATATTATTTCGTAATATTTACATTTTGAAACTTTTAAAAACAAAACTATTATTTTTAGGTAAGTAACACTAGCGGATAAAGGATTTAATATTGGGTGGGCTTCAGCCCGAAAGGTTTTTTTTTTATATACATATAACGATAATTAATTTGAAAAAAAAAATTAATTAATTATATAAAATGGTGTTCAAGTGGTTCTTGAAGTCCTATTTAATATAATTACACGAACAAGAATACTTTAAGAGATAGTTTTTAATATTTTTTTCTGTAAAACATGGTTATGTTTTAACATTTTGAAGTGGGGGGGGGGCTTCAGCCCGAAAGCCTCCTCCGTAGATTCGCCTGTGGTAAGAAATACATTGGTTTATAAAATTCAAGTTTAACACGTCGGTAAAAGGTTTTTATGAGGTACTTTTTAAAATATTATAGTAATTTTCGAAAAAGATTTGCAAGATTGCTCTTTACCGCCTATCGATAATCAAAGTAAAGGATGTTTAGTTTTAAGTATCTTAAGTTTTAAGTTTCTGATATTTCATCCAATTTTAGATTATAATTCGATCCGACTAAATTCTCAACTAATTCTAGTTCTTGTTTATTTAAACTTCATGATTTATATCAAAATATTTTAGGATTTAGGAAAACATCAATCAGCTGATAAACATTAAAATCAACTATGCCAAAACCAGACGATAACTGGGTAAGATTTTATGTCTTTGATTTGAGTTTCAATATTTTTTTTTTTCAATAAAAAAACAAAAATTATCTAAAGTAATTATTAATTTCGACAAACTCTTTCATATCGATTAATTTTAGTGTTCTCACATTATCCCACAATATCTGTATTTTCCAAAAAATGTACGACTAAATAATCAATTTTTTAAGTGAAAACTGCATTGGCCTTTAGCCGTCAGATTTTTTATGTGTAACGTTCGGGTAAAGTCGGATGGAGTCGACTAATTGCAATGTTTTTGCGTATGGATTAAAATATCTCAAAAAACTAAAAATGGTGCCTGCATATTGTTAGCTAGGGAAATATTCATTATTTCATCCTCTCTGTAATAGGCTATAATTCAAAATTGTATCTTAACGCGACGCCCTGTTAGATAGGCGAACAGAGAAAAAATAGTGTCGAAAACCAAATGATAACGAGTTTTATTGAAGATATGGATTAAAATATTTCAGTAACTAAAAATCGGACCTGCATACTGTAAGCGAGGGAAATGTTCAGCATTTCATCCTCTTCATAATCAGCTATTATTTATAATTTATAATTCATATTATTAATCTCGCCTTGTTGATTTTTCACTTCTATCGTGTATTCTAAAGTATGCACCTTAGCTTTTTCTCTTTTTTTAGGTAAGTATTAGAAATACGAAGTGCATTTTTACATTGAAATTCCCGTCTTATTTTTCTACAAGCCGACTTCGTCACAATACCGATTACCAGGAAATTACCTCTTTAAATATTTTTGGAAATAGGACCTATGAATTTAATTTTTCTATCCTAACCTCTCAAAACAATTTTAAACCAACAGCTGCGGATAAATTAAGTTACGGAAATGAAATGAAATATATTGTGATTTCACAAAAGAGCCTATAATAGAACCCGTTGAAAACTACCGAGAAACTGCGGTAGTATTATGAGTATTTCAAAATATTTTACCATTTGTATACAGAGGCCGTGTAGAGTATATAGGTTCTAAAAGATTTTAGGAAATAGTAGTGCTTGTCACGCATGCCTACATTGTCACAAGTTTGCCAACGCCTGTTACATATTTAGTGTTCCACTTACCACTGTTCTAGTCACAACACGACAATACAATTAGCTGCGCTACAATAACCGAAATTCGGTGAAATATTAAAATATATTTGCCCAATTAAAAAGGGATTTTCTTTTCAATATTGGCTGTTAAGTTCGATCTTTCATAAAAATATATATATATATATATATTCTTAAAGACGTATGTCAAGCAAATAATTTTTGAATCAAATAAATATAATATCTATGATATAATTTTATAAAAAAAAAAATACTATAATTTTGAATCAACAAAATATACTTTTTGAAATCCAAAGGTTACAGAAATAATTTTGGCATGATAAAACTTTTGATATTTTTTATAATGAAAACTTAAATTTATCATATTATATACATATGGCTTATCTCTAAAGCCTTATATCTCCACAAAACCAAATTTTATATATAAAAAAAACAAAAAAAAAAAAACTACATTTCTATTGAAGGAATATAAAAATTGTAAACATTTTTTTTCCTGATGTATTATGGAAAATTCCAAATATTTGTAGGAAAATGTAATACCACAGATTATTAGTATTAAATTTATTAAATATTTATTTAAATATTTAATATTAATTAAATAGTACTAAATTAAATTAATGTAAATGAGTGAGCATTAGTCGTTTACAAGCCTTAAAGTTTAGACTTAAAAGTTTTTAAAGAAAGCCGTCGATATTTAAAACATTTTGGTTATTATTAACAACCTTCATACATTTCTAAATAAACGTTTCAGTAATATGTTAATTCCTAATTGAATTTCGGGACCGTTCTAGTTATTTAATTCAATATTGAACTAATAGTTTCTTTGCATTGGATGCTTTTTTACTGAAAATAAAAGAAATTTTATAGTGCATAACCGAACAGATGTTTTAAGGCTCAATTTATCATCAAGTACTTCAGAGAATGAAAATAAATACATCTATTATAAACATTTTCTAGAAGATTTCTTTTTTAATTTCTGTAGAAACTCTTTTCAAAGAACTTTATAAAACGTAGATTTTAATATACATCTTTATCATAAGTAATAGTGTTTCTATTTTTTTATTCAAATAAATAAATACTCTGTATATATTTACAATACAGAAAACTTTATTTTGACACGGAGTAATAATAATTATAATTATTATTATTTCTTTGTATTTTTTAAATAATTAACTGTTTATTTAGACAAGTAGGTAAATAAATTGTTTGATGCCGGGATTGCTGTGAGTTACCTTGCATAATTGAGCTATTGCCAGTGCCGGTTTGATCCCGATCTAGGAAGGTTAATATTATTTTCCAGGTAAACCCAAAATTTTAATCCTATTTTTGATTTTCCTACTTTCAATACTATAGGTTGATAATTTGCCGATAATTACCCCATCAATTTTCTTTTTGTAGTGTTATAAAAAGTAAAAGCCTTTTTAATGCATATTTAATTTAATTCATATATTATATATCGTGTTTGATACCGGTCAATTACTTTCTTATTGGCCTCTTTACATCGTTATTCATGAATATAAGTAGGTATATTAATTGCCATAAATTTTCAAAATATTTTGAATATTATTTTATTTTCTGCTTTTGAGGCCATCAGTCGTTTACTTGTTTATAAACTTGATTAAAACTATTTCACTTCTTCTCTAATCACTTGTCTACTTTTTCTACTAATCACCTGATCCTACCAATTCAAAGCTATTTTCCCTCTTAATCCTAGGATGGTTAGTACCCTCAAGTTGCTACCCCTGAAGATCAACCCCTAGTGACATACAGACAAACTCACCTTAGCTACCATGGCGATGTCCTGTGGTGTGTGCTCCATCCACGACGGCAGGCTATATATACCACACTCCCCTCCAGCTCTTCGCCGGCCCATTCATCCTCACCAACTCTTCTTCATCTCTACCATCGTTCAAGTCACCGCAGCCCTAAGGTAATTCGCACCCATATCTATCACATATATGTATAATATGTCGATTTACTTGGATAATTTTTGAACCTTTATAGTATTAGCATCAAGTTGTGACCAGTAGGAACTTCTAATGGATGTACCGCTCAACAAATAAAATATCACAATAATTGAAAATAAAATAAAAATTTTGATTATTTAAAACAGGTATCAAATTTGTTTCGCTTTTTTCGGTCCAATACAAAATTAATACTATTTTATAAGTCATAATATTATAGAACTTTATTTACTAAAAGCCATTTTAAGTAAAAATGCAGTATTAAATCCGAATTATGATGGCCGACTGTAAAATATAAACATTTCTATATTAATTAATAATTCATTAAGGTTTATGAAATTAAATATGCACTTTTTTAATGCAAAACCATTACATTAAAAATACTTTTAATTTTTCGATGGTAAAACTCATGGATAAAAATGCAAATATTACAGTTTGGAATAAAAAAATATTAATACTCGACCTCATTTCATCGTTTCTTATTTAATTTACTGATTATTTTATATACGATTGTCTTTAGTGTTATATTTGTATATGTATTTGGTGTTCATTTAAAACATTTGTACAAACTTAGATGATAATATTTTTCAAAGCTATTTTAAATAGTTGTTTACATGTATGATATTTTCTATCGATATAATTCTTCCTCTGAAGTATGTTTGCCTGCATATTTCTTAATTTTTATAATTAATTTTTTTATATTAAAAATATAAAGGGATTTTTTGCAAAACAGTCGGTTGAAATCTCGATGTGGTGAGTAGAAAAAAAGTTTAAAATATTTTTAACGTTTTAAGAGAAATTTCTAAGTATACTAAATAACGCTCTATTGCAATCATACATTTCTGTTGTTACACAGTTATTCTTATTTTATTGTTGTTACATTTTTATTTTTGTTCGTATTTGAATGTTTTCAAAAATACCATCGAAACAAAACAACTAAATAAGTAGCCAAGAAAATACGACAAAAAGACAAAAGAAAACCGTAGCAGAAACAGGACACCGAAATAAAATATTAAAAATTGATTATTTTGTTTTTCTACTTACATTCGAGTACTCTTCAATTAACTAGATACAGTTGGTTGTATACTCATCATATATGAAGAATGCGTGTATAATATGAAATTAACAAAGATGAAACAGCCGGGCTTAGCTAGTTAATGAATATTTTTAAAGTCCTGTTGCAATTCAGAATAAGTTAAGAATAATGACTTGTTTATTAGCATTTTTAAACGTTCATATCCCGATCTTTGTACTGCTTGAAATTCGCAATGAACCACTGATAAGGGACTCAATGTTTTTGATTTGTTTAAGACAGTGCCAATGTGTATAACCTTACAAAAATGCTGAAAAATAACTGATCATTATATCTCTTAGCACTTGAATCCTAGAAGAAAAGACCAACTTTAAAATTCCGTACCAATATAAACAGTGAATGATGGTTACAATACATGTTCGGGAAAATTCCATGATCACGTTATCAATCATGATCATACCAACCATTTTTATCAAAAGGCAATAAAAAAAAACTGGAAACGAAAGAATATTCTTGCAATATAATTATGAGAAATGATACAAAATTGAAACACTTGAGTAGAAGAGCACTGAGTACCATATCTTGAACTTATTCATCAACTATCTTAAAGGCCGAATACTGATATGCTAATAGGATACTTTTCGATATCAAGTTTCTTGGAGCGTTTCAGGTGCAAGGTGTCTTGGCACTTTTTAATCTTGTTCTTTTCCATTGATGATGAGTAAATTTCTTGATCATGTACCTAAGGTTGTGATCGTGATACAACAGTCTAATTCTCCTCCAATGAATGTTCCCTTTTTACTTTCATTTACGTATATATATATAACATATAGTAAGGGTAAGTATTGGGATCGTGAAAATTTTCGAATCTCAGTTTTCAACGGAAATACATAAAAAAAAAAAAAAAAAGAATAAAAAAAAAGCGTTAAAATCGGACAATTAGGAGGAAAGATATGGTCTCTAGTTTTTTTCTCTGAAGAGACAAAAATTTGTATAAAATTAAAATATACTTTTTTAATTGTTGAGACTACAAAAACTTTTTTTCTACAGATATTTAATAAAGTATCTTACCTTGGAAAATCTTTCATAATAAATAAGCACCTATTATTTATATAAAGGTATAATTTATACCTTTATTCTCAGTTCTATATTTCAACACTGCAATCACCACCTCCGGTATCAACTTACTCAGTGTCTGCATAGATAACTTTTTCAACTAAAAATATCACTAAATTGACATTAATCAAAAATGTTGAAATTGGAGTTAGTCATTCTGTGGTTTATAAAAGCAAAGAAAGTTGTGTGGTTTATAAAAGCATATAGAGTGACTAGATTTTTATTGCCTACCGTCGATATATTAAATAGACATTTTGTAATTATAATGGTCTTAATGACCTGTTATCTGTAAGCTTTAAGCTTTAGCTCCGTTTAAAATGCACTTGAAAAATTTTATAATAGCCCAGCATTGCCAGAAAATAATTTCTATTCAAAGTAGAGGGGTAAGTGAAAGTTGTGTGTTGCGCGCACCAGATTTTTTAAAGTTCTCCTCGACTCCTAATACCAATGTCTTCCTGAGACTGCTTGTTTTACATTTCACTTTCTTTAGGAGGTGGATACGATAGTAAATACTTAAAGTTTGGTCTTGTCCAATCTAACGATTATTTTACTGTATTCGTTCAGGTGGGCGGTAATGTAGTTCCTTTCTACTTCTTCTTTCTAAGTAACTTATCATAATTAAATTGATATATATTTTTTTGGTTTATTATTTTCAATAATCAACAATTGTGATCGACCAAAAAATTCAAAAACTTAAACACCTCTCAAAATTTGAAGTTTCACGTTTCAGGATGCGTAGAATTCGAAAAACGAATAAAAATTTTTTTGTCCATCCGCCGTCCGCCGTTCGCACATTTTCTCCGAAACTACTGGACCAATTTTTTTCAAATTTGGATATAAAATCAGAGGTCATCCGAGGACGATCCTCCTTCATCGACATTACCATCCGCCTTTTATTTTCAAAATGGCGGCCGAAAAACCTGCGTTGCTATAGACTGTAGCTCCTAAACGAAAGTACCGATTTCAATGAAACTTCGCTAAAGTCATTTTCTTGACGATCTTTAAATTTATCTATATAACATACTTCAACGAAAAGAAGCTGGAAAAAAAGTTACGAGGGATGGTAAAATTAAATTCCGAATAACTCAAAAAGTTTACACTTTTTTGTCGATAATGTGATAAGATGTTTCAAAGGTATTTAAATTTCCTACAAAATGAAGGAAATTTCATCGAAATCAAAGCACTATTAGTAGAGATATCGCGATTTTTTAAATATTTTTTGTTTACTTTTTTCCAATATAATCAACCATTGTGATCAACCAAAAAATTCAAAAACTTAACCCCCTCTCAACATTTGAGGTTTTGTTTTTTTTATGATTCTTCTACTGAGACATACTGGTTGAACTGAAGATATTGAAAAACCAAATGTGTATTGTGTAAAGTGAATATTTCTGATTACTATAGCCTAGAAGCACAGTTCTCATCATAAGTTCTCTTTGATCTTGAGTAATATCAAGAACGGACATGGAAAACGAAGGCTCAATCCTTCTCCGATTCTTTGAGTGGTGTTAAACTCCATGAATGGAAGTGTGAGTCCTCACCATGTTCATATTTTATATAGGCTGAGGATCGCATGTCCGATATTCTAAATCTTCGTCTCTAGTACTTTGTGTTCATGCTAAATTACGATGTCCTATTCCCGGGTCGAATCCACGAAACAGGCCTGTTTGATTGGGATTTAGTTTACGCGAAAGTAAGCTGAGGAAGATTATTTCTTTCCAAGCGGCGGAGTATTCAACTTAATATATTTATTGTTCTGAGATACTACTCTCCAAAAAGAGTCTGAAAGGTTCTTGAATAATTTTAGTAACTGACCTACTTAAAAATTACTACAATAAGTTTCTAATTTAAGTTGGATGTTTTCGTGTGTTATTTTAATACTCATTTTGTTTGATACTTATTTTTTTCCCTTCTGAAAGTTACTATGCCCGTTTAAATTAGTTTAAAATCGTTGTTTCAGAGTAAACGCGTTGGTCAAGTGTTGGCAGATAAAAGTCTGCAATGTTTTGTTAGTCTCGTACCAATATATACTTTAGTTGTAACTCTAGTAATATTTTTGATAGGAATGTTCGAAGCTTTTCTCGATCTTTTTGGTTATGCTGTATATCTGTAAGGAGTATGTCCATATAGGTTTAAATAAGTATATGCATTCATTTACTTAATGTCTCAGTTCTAATTTTTTTTCTATTTGGAAAAGTAAGGAAAGTAGTTTGAATCGTTTATTAACATTCTTCTGTTTCACTTTAACATGTGGGCGCCATGCCACTCTTCTGTCAAAGATATGTTGTAGATAGTGGAAGGTGTCCTTCTGGATGAATATAATAGTTGTTTTCAATATAAATTAGAGGGCAGGTATTCGGTATAAATATTTGGTGTTATGATTGATTGTGGTTTACTCGAACTTTTCATAATTTGTATCACTCGTGTAATTTATGTAAGTGATGTTGTAAAGTTGGTGAGGCTTATAGGATTTTGATTTTTATGGACATTCTTGTGCTGTGAATATAAGTAGCAGTCAATGTCTGATAGTTAATAGGTATGTCGTAAGTGTATAAAATATTTAGTGAACGATGGTGCTATAAAAAAGTATAAGAGTACCGCCGCCAAGACTGGACGAATAACAAGAAGTCTGAGCCACGTCGAACAAGTAAATTCTGTCAAAGAGTTTGCGTTTAGAGCACCTGCGGATTTACGGGGGACTTACGGGCTGAAGCTCCCTCCCCAAAATGGTAAAATATAACCATGTCTAATAAAAAAAAACATCACTAATAGTATTATTATTGGTGTAATTACATTTAATAGGACTTCAAGA